CTCTGATTATGCTTCTGTGCTTTTAGTTAAGTAAAACTTTGAATGCAAGACATGCACTCCTAACAGAGTATTTTTTATCTTTATCTTAATTCTCCTTTCACCACTCTCACTGTATAAGAAACTGGGATGCACCATTAGGATGCACTTACCATAAGTAAATGATAGTGTTCAACTGCCATCTAGTGGTGACATTACATCACAGTTGCTACAAAATTCATTACTACATACATTTGAAGGTTGAAAAGACACATCTAAACCAATTCCTTTCTCATATTTGATCAAACACAAACACAATTACTGACCAATTAAAATGTCTCACTGTAGCACTATCACATTTTAAAAATCTATTCTTTGAAGCCCCTTGTTTTTATTTATGTCTGCTTCTCCCCAATGACAGTATCACCTCCTCACAGATGTTTGTGAGAGACAGATGACAGAAGACAGACGCATCCGAAGATGCATCCGAAGACATGGTAGTGTGTTCATTTAGTGTAAGTGAAGTTAAGTAAAGACGCATGACCGCCGGAGGTCAAACCACAGACACAAGACAGTTCCTACATACTTAATAGTTGTACTTGTATTCTGTGAGGCTGTTGTTATTCCAGCTCTTAAATCCACCAGATCTTTCTTTTTTCTTTCCCTCTCCCTCTAATGTTCCTTTCCTCCATCCCTGTTCAGGGTGGGGGTGTTCAGCACCGAGGCCAGTCAGACACGAGATTGGCGTCAGGTTTGATTGCCTGTTTCCGTGAGAATATCAAATCTAAGCAAAGTGTAACAAGTCCCAGCGGAGCAGTAACCTTCGAAACTCACACCTGCATCCACGGCACTTTACCCTGCCAGTGCTACTCTGTACTGTAAATGAATGGCTGTTATTCACATTAATCACATCATCCAGATGTGTTTTTACACGAAGCATTCCAGCATCCAGGCAGAGCTCCCTTTTGAGGACATGAAGCAAGTTAGGTTCGCCACAGTGCACCTCCTGACAAAGCAAACCATGTAATCACAGCACAGATTGACATTTCTACTTAGCAGCTGAGAGATTCTTCAATCTGAAATGTAAATAGATTCCTTTTTGCCAAGCAGAGCAAACCCTTCAAAACCCATTGACATCTAGTTGATCTCCCCTTACTTGAGAAAGAGAAAAGGTCATGACAGCCTTGGAGGCTTTAATGATGTGTTAAAAACAATTCTGTGGAAAACTATGAACCAAATCACCTCAGTCTGGGCTCTGCTTTTGTGTCCCTGCTCTTTCAAGATCATGAAAGGCAGGGCACATGATTAAGCCAGGTCTGGACTGCTCGTTAGAAAGCACCTATGCTGATTTCATGAGTAAAATATTACAGAGCTGGATGTTTTGTGCACTGCAACTGGTCGTTGAGGCATTTGATCTACCTCCCAGTGTCTATTGATTGATGTCTATTGAAATTAGTTCATTAACACAGGCGCCAACCTTTGTAAGAACCTGGCTATTCTGAAGAGAGCACATCAAACCATTTGACTTACAAGCATTCTTAATCAACCGTTGCTTTTGATAGCCCAGATGTGCAACGGATGACAAAGCAGGAAGTGGAAAGTCTGGACAAATGTCTGCATTGGGAAAAAGAGAGTCCAAATACGAAGTCGTTTTTCTTTATTTGATATGATAGTTGTCATAGAGAAAGGAAGTATTTATCTATGGTATCTCTGGCAGAGGATTTGGTCACTTGATGTCTGATCTCACTTGAACGGGGAAGAAGATCAGGAGTTACGCCTGTTTGCTCCTCAGCACCCATTGGGCAGTTGCCTGCAGCCAGCCCTCGCTGTGACCTCACATACTCGATAGTGCCAAGGAAATTGTCCCCCGAGCGTTACAGCACGGCTGAGAATGGTGAATGAAAGAGGGTGGGGTCGGGTTATCCATGTGGTGCACTTAAAATTATTCACACAACATTTTGCACTGATGTATGAAGCCACAGTCATGAGTCTTTCCCTCTACCTCTGTTTTGTCCCTCCTGTCATAAATTGTGAGGTTCTCCTGTGCAAAACCTGCATCCTGCTCCATTCCAGATGTGTTTTTAATGGCCTCTCTGGGCCACAGACAACTCTGCCTCTCTTGGAGATACAGAGGCCTTGTCGACCTGCAGTGACTCCTCAGTTGAAGGGTGACTTGACAATCATAGCCTAGGATGACTGGTAACAAGAAAGAGCTGTTTTGTAACCGAGTACATTCTCACTTGCCCCATCTGTGTGTGTTTGTTTTTTTGTCCCCTGCCTTGATTTTTTACACTCAATTTTAATATTGCCTTTGATTTAAACACTGCAGCCTGGTCACTCATAACCATGTCGTCATGTGCTGTGATATACAGCCCCATTAATATTCTCCCTCTGGTCTGGCTATGGGACAAGGGCGGGTACTCATCATGCTCAAGCTCCAGAAACTCAACTCTTGCCAGTATTGAGCACATTAAAAACGTCCAGAGGAAACATCACACGGTCCAATGGCGTCAAGTCAGACTTCTTCCACTAAACTGGAAACTTTGGATTTGCTGCTGAGTCTGTTTAGGGCGAGATCCAGCTACAACTACTGTCTTTCCAGTTTGGGCCATGAATTGAGATCTCACTTCTAGCACCTGCTGAAACCTTGTCGAATGGTGGTTTTCATCATTTTGCTACCAGAAGACAGCTAAATCTGGCTGTAGAAGCTTAGTGCCCTCTCGCTGTCAAATGAAAATTCATTGTCTGGTGCTTTATTGTGTTACTGTCAATAGAAGAGACAGAACAGCCATTTTCAACCTTTTCTCTCTCTCTCTATCTCCACCCATCCACAGTTTAGGGTCAGTCTGTCTATGACCATAGCTGACCACAGCACACCTAAGTAAACAACCCCCTCACCAGGCTCACAGGAGCTGAGACAGACTCTACAGGCTCCCTCCCAGTTATATCATGGTAGCAGGACCTGGCCTGTGTCCCAGGAGCCAGGACCTCTCTGAACCGCTGCAGACCAGACAAGACGCTCATTGTGTGGGAATGTGATGATGAGGCATGGCGGAAGTTTCCATGACATGGGTTTCTGCATATTCTACACATTTCTATTCCAAATATATTCTCCAAGTCTCTCAGTGTTGCTAATGCAAGGGTTAACAAAGGATATTTTGTATTTTTGTGAGGAAGCACATGGATTTGGATGTGTGCCTCTGGAGAAATGGCATATAAGTGTGGGGTTTATGTTTAAGTGGAATGACACTGATATCAAAACACATATTGCCACATAATGTGTGTGGGTAAAAGCATAAGATGATATCTGAGCGATGCCATTCAATGAATTCAAGATATTTTGTTCTTGACACAAAATCACAGTCCATGCCGCATCCTCTGGTGTGGGATGCTAATCACTGCAGCTACAAACCCACCGTGTAATCTTTCATCAGTGTCAGCACAGACGAATGCTGTTCAGCTGTGCATTGTCACTAGTAGAATACAATTTACATCTAATCTACTTAACAAATTCACTTATTCTCTATTCAGTAATTCTGATAGCAGTACTATATCTCATTTATAGGCCACAGAGATGGTCAGTGAACTGTAAGGCTGTTCTTAAAGACTCTGAGGTCATGGGGGTTTAGTTTCTGCTCTGTAGAGCAAATGCCAGATTTTAGATATTAGATATGGTTAGAAGAGCCGGCAGTATAATTGGTTGGCCTGGTGAGGCAGGACTGGGCAATGCCTGGAGATAGGGAGACCTAATTAAAAGGCTGAGAATACTAAAACAATTCATAAAGGCATCACGACTGGGATGTTGCTGCTGGGATTCCCTCAAGGATTTCATTCAGTTGTAAACATGCTGGTGCACTCGCACACACAGATGATGCACAATAATGAAGATGGCTGTTCACTTAAAAAGTACACTATCTAGATAAACTTTAGGCTTGTAGCATGTCTTTTCAGCGTATAACTACTTTGAAATTTTGCACATAATTATTTTGTTACTTAAAAGTGTGCAGAAGTATATATAATATTACATCTTTTGTTTTTTATGTGTTACTGTAATATATGTTCATACAACTCACTATTCAGAAATTTAAGTTGCAGATACTGAGGTGTTTTTAACCCTCGGGTTAACTTTCATGATGGAGTAGCAGCACCATCTACTGTGAAAACAGGGTAGTAATAATACTGTGATGTCAGAAAATGTAAATTGGGGGAATTATTGAGCCTATTTTGGAAAAATAACTACAGTGGAATCCTTTGAAAGCCCAAAATACAAGAAAGAACAGCATTCATGATTATAAAATAAGGAGTTTAATTGTAATTTCTCTAATTGCATTCCAACATCGGATATACTGTCTCTTTAAACTATAATTTTGCTGATTAGACATTCATGGTTCAGTTTTTTGGTAAGTAAAGCAGCCATTCTTAACTGTGTTAAAAGGTACTGGCAGGTGTTGCTACACTGCTGGTATGGCTACAGAACAATTCATCTGTCAATAATAAATACAATTTAAAAGAAAATGAAAACTAAAGGTTTATCATTTATTCTTTTAAAAAAGCAATCATAAAAGGCACAGTCAAAGAATATATTCATCACACATCAAATCAAATCATAGGTAAATCAACATGAATTTATCCTATAGCATTGGCTATCATTTCTAAATCCAAACGATCCAGGGGAAAATTAAGTTCAGTAGTTTTGGATATGATAATGTTGAAAATTAGGAAAAAAAGAATAATTGTCATATTGAATGCATACAGACATTTTCTGCAAAATAAGTTATTGGCCCTATTCTTGTACACAATAACACTTTTAAAATTGATTAAAAAATATATTTCAGACTTAAAAAGCAAAACCATCTCTAGTTTTTTTTTGTCATAAACATTTCATGTTATGTTACGCTGTAATGTTCCTAAACCTTACTGTGCTAACCCTTACTTCACCTAAAAGTTTCAAAATATAAAACAACAGCACCAAAAAATAAAAACAATAAACTTAAAAAACACAGCAAGCATTAAGACTAAAAATCACAACGACCAATATCAGTCACTCAAGTACTGGAGGAGTTTTAGTTAGCACTGATCATTAGCACCATACTGTATGTCACAACACGGCCAAAGAAATCTGCTACATAGATGTTGACTTTGAAAAGTGAAGAGAGGAGTAAAGGTTGAATATTTTTGCTAATGTTCTCTGTCAAACTAAGAAAGTGCTACTGTGCAGGTCGAGTCTTAAAAATGTACTTTTAAGTTTCTGATGATCACTAAAACACTGTTAGTATTATCTATCAAAACCTTAGTCACAGAGTAAATATAGTAAACTAAGACATCTGTTAGCTGCCAGGCTATTTTGCATTATCTATAATGTACTGACCTCTAGTTAGTGTCAATGTGCCTTTAAACTGCCCTCCGACAATGTAAACTCTGAGCAGCCTTTGGGTGGTACAGTATCTAAGGATGGTATTGCTTTATTTGGTGGAAGCATACGTGTAACCATACTGTACAGATTAAATCTGAGTTGAAAATACCTGAAACTTTATTTCACTGACATCAAGTACAGGTGTGGACATAGGGGCCACAGTTCACAGGCGACTTGCTGTGAGACGTTCAGGAGACAGACTTCTTTTGCTGTTAAATGCCTAAAAAAAGATAAGGATGTTGATTATATTTACAACTTTTGAATAAAACAAAAATAAAAATACAAAAAATAGATTTTGAACTACATACCCTTAGGGCCAGTGGTGTGCATGCATGTTGTAAAGTGGAAAGAGTGATACTATGAGTTTGATCATGAATCTGAAGTTTATGAGTAGCTGAGCAAACCCAACAAAAATCACTATGTGAACAAACCCCCAAACAGTGGCTATCTTTCTGTGTTTGGTTGCACTGTCAAGCCTTATAGAGACTTACAAGACTGCGACTTGGGCTGAGAGAGCGAGAGCGTACGGGGCTGGCACTTCTGCTCCGGCTTCTGCTCCACTGCAAAAACAGACGTGTCGCCATTAAACACAAAAGCCTTTTCATGTGCTGTCATGCTCTTACATTACTCTCCAGAGCAACAATGAATGATGATATTTTATGAAGTATTATTCAGTCATTACCAGAGCACCTCTTCTCGTCACAGCCTCGCCCTTCACTATCACAGCATCTCCTTCCAACAAGGCCGGCCACACATGGTACAACACCAGCGGAGCAGTGAACTCGGAGTCATAGCTGCGACGATACCTGTCAGACGCAGAGGTGAGGGGAAAACAGTGAGGGAGAGCTGGGAGTATTTATGTGTGTGAGTGTCATCGAAGTGTTGAGGGCGGCATCTAGTGGTAGAGATGGTAAATAACCAATAAAAAAAGTGACAGGCGGCAGTTCATGGGGTGGTGTTTTACAATGACTGTCGGGAAATGTAGCACTACAATACATCAAAACTGACCAAATGAACACCGCAGCTTTACCTAATTCCTGTAAAAGAACAAACTTTTAGAAATAATTCAGACACAGTACTGCACAAAGGACTGACTTGATGTCGTTGTAAAGTTCTCCATCGCTGGCAAAGGCCAAGTCAAGTGGGGGGTCCAGTGTCTGCATGGCAAAGGCCACCCTGCACGTGTCCCTGATCATGGCACTAATGAGGATAAAGTCCACCTCTGGCGGGAAAGAGATCCGAGGGTTCACATTCATGGCATTGATCACATCCTGGGGAGTAAAATACACAGTCTCAGTATCAAACTTTATTTGTTCATAAATGCTGCAGAGGACACATGGGAGAAGTATTTGATCCTACATTGACGCTGGCCTGAACATCGTAGAGGTCCAGGTTTCTGACAATGTAGTCCACAGCTGCATCCTCCAGACTTTCCGGCCCAAAGTGGGATGGGGACAACGTCTTTCTCACACGCAGCTTGAACTGACGATAAGCCAGTTTTGCTGTCTTAAAGGATTCCTGAGACATGATAACATGAAAAAATATACCAGCCAATCATATACAACCCTGATTAAATCAATCAACTAGGCTGTCCAAATAAACAAGACTTGGGACTAATTTTCTCTGCCTTCACTTGCCAATCTCTGCAGGTGGCTCTACAATAAATACAGTCTTACCACGACAGCAATGAAGATGATTTTCTGGACCATCTCTAAGTCTGAAATGTAGCGTCGAAGCAGGGTCTGGGCCTCCAGACGCTCCACAGCATACAGGTCACTGAAACGTGATACGAGGCGTGCGTGGCGTGAGGAGTTAGTGAGCTGGGCTCTGGTGGGAGACTCACTCCTCATGGGGCTGGAAGAGCGACTGAGCCTGGGCAAAGGGCTTGGAGAACGACTTCTCACCAGCCTGGGGAGACGGAGAGAGAAACATAAAAAGCACATTATCACTGTTTGTATACAGTATATACATTATATGCACTTGTGTGTTGGGTGCAGCTGTACCTCTCCTGCAGCATGGCCTTCTCTGTGCTCAGGTAGGACACTTCATCTCTCAGCAAGCGAATCTGCCGTTCATAGTCATCAAGAGCATCCAGCTTCCTCTTATAAATCTCCACCTGCTCGAGTGCGGATCGCAAACTGAAACACAGACACACTTCACATCAACAGAGGAGTAGGCTACATACTGTATGTTGTATTTTAAAAATGAATACATTACAGCAACGTTTGACAGGGATCACCCACTCTGCTTTCAGTTGTAATATTTCGTCTTCAGTGGCCAGCAGAGTGGTTGCTGATTTGCTCTTTGTCTCATCCAGTTCATTCTGAGCATCGGCCAATCTGTTAGAACAAAAAACTATGTTTCATGTTTTTCATTGGCAGTGCAGGAAATTCAGCTGGGTGGGTATAAAGTGAAATAAAATGTGCAAGCAACATTTATATACATCCCCATGCCCATGGACTTGTATGAGGACATGTAATATTTCAGTTATCTAAACATGAGCTATGCAAGTTAAGGTAGGAAACCCCAGCTGGCTGCAGTCCACTTCTACTCTGTCTTATTTCTCTTAGACTCACTCTGCTCTGACAGAGTCCAGCTGCCGGCGAGTGGAGCACAGCTCAGTGTCCATCTTCAGCATGTCGCTATCATGGGAAGCAGAGAGCTCCCTGATCCTTCTGTTCTTTTCCACTGAATCCTGATAATAACAAATGATGATAGAGTACAAGGGATATACAGTAACCAGGCTGAAGATCTTTATGTATTTTCTGTCAATGCCGTAGTGTTACACTGGATAATGTCTCATTACTAAATCCATTAACATTCGGTGTTATTAAGCCTACAGTAACATATTATATCACCTGGATGAGCTGTAGACTGGTGTCATCAGTGACCGAGGGCCTCGCCATTGAGAAACAGGTTCCAAGCCACGGCAGCAAGCGCATTTTGAGAGTTTCCACTCCAGCATAGTGTCCACCTGAGTGAGTGTTGAAAGGTTTGTGAGTAATTACAAGCTGGTCCTATACTTCCAATGTAAAGCTTACCTTCAGTAGCTGTGAGGTTGAGGATGGCGAACAGTTGGCCCTGGATCTTGGAGGTTAGTTCAATCAGCTCACAACATCTATTTAGATTCTGGTCACAGGAAATAACCTGGAGGGTAAATATGAGTCAATGAGTCCATTTTTACATAAAAAACTATAAAGCCACTTGAAATTATAAAATAGCTTGTTCTTTTCTGTTGTGCTCTCTATATATTTATATACATATATATATATATGCTATAGCTAAATATGACATGGTGTTAAAGTGCAATAGTCCTATCTATCCAAGAGAAGCAACAGGTAGCTAACGTTAGCCCACTTTCGTTGCAAGACACTATGACACAGCAAAAGGTTTAATGCCATTCAGTGACTGTTTTGTACATTTGTAGTGTAACCAGTCCGTAATCACTATATTTACATAGTGTCACTCTTTCTTTCACTCTATAAATTTGGACAAATGATTTCCAGTCACTCTGCAGCGCGCTGTTCTGTGTACAGGAAGTAACAGGACGTGAACCATCAGTGAGGTAAAAGATCTTTGGAGTAGTCCGACAGTAGCCATGGCGACTGGCGTCCATAGCAACCAAACTCTACGGGGAAATCAATGTAATCTAAACAAGTGCATTCCTTCACTGTAGTGTTTTAAATGATGCATGCGTTTCCAACCACTGCTCCTCAACTGCGTTATCCGTAGATAACGTAATAATAATAATGGGTACAGAACAAATGAAACAATCACCAGTCGACGGTAGTAAACAAAGCCACCTATAATTTCTAGAGGAGGAGGGAATAAGTTACCTCCAACGCTTTGACTCGACTTCAACTGTATGCTACACACATATAATATTTAGCCACCAGCTACTTGATGAGATAACCATCGTGGAGGTGATAGCTAAGGTGGCCGAGGGCACTGATGAAGTGCTTTGGTCAGATTTGGGTCGGTCATTACTTATTAATGAACTTACATGGTAGTCTTTGTGCCAGCTCTCAAGCTTGTCCTGTAAGACGCTGAAGGAAGATGTGTTGGTCAGTCTCCTCAGATTGTCGGCCATGTCCGTCCACAATAACTACCCTAATAGGTTTAAAATGCCCCGGGAGGAGGACAACAGCCGGGGGGGTATAATCTCTGAGGGAAGTGCAGTAAAAATTCCTGTCCTGGCAGCTTTCTCCACCTACGACACAGATGCCAAGCACCGCCTCAGTTGTGGCAACCAAGGAGACGAGGCGACAACCAAACCCCGGTGTTTTAAATAAATAACTGGTGACGGATGAACAGAGAGCCCTCTCAGTCAGTGCTCTGCAGGCTCTGCTCTCCCGTGGTGTAAATACTGTAATGTCATACTGTCAAACGACACCAAAGGCCGGCAGAGCAAACCTTCTGTGACACAGATATATGCTGATGTTTCCGCCCAGGTGAGCTGTGTTGGATCAAATCCGATTATAATACAGGAGCCCACACTAAAGTTGACATACTAAAGTTGACATACTAAATTGCATTACATGTGCACGGAGTGTTTGGTAGATTATAGGCCCAAGTCATACTATGCTAAGGCTAAAAGGTAAACTACATAAGTCTATCATTTCAGATTTGGTTTAAACAATAACACTTAAATAATAATTGGGGCACTAATATCTACACAAATCAGTTTGGCTTTGCACCGAGGTGTTTTAATAAAGAGACAGATGCTCGGACTACACATTGAGCTGTGAAAAACATTCCTTTTTATTACTTTATTTCTTTTTTCAACCGAATACAGTTTGTGTTTCATTGTTAATAAAAAAGGAGAGCTGATGTTATGGCCCACCTGGCAGTTTACCTATGGAAAATATGAATGGACATGTTTTTCTATTTTAGGATCCTTCTGTCATTGGCTGGTTGAACTGGTTGGAATGTACCATCTTTAATTGTCATAGAAATGTTCTTTTTTTTTTTAGCTCGCTCAGTGCAAATAATAATGCCCTCGGTTTGTTCTCGTTCGTAATAAGGTAACCTTTTTTATTCGTGAGTAAGTATCTTCCTCTCAGTCTCTCCCAACACTTACAGTTGTTTCGCCTTCCACTGTGGAAAGTGGTATGTTCCCTGTCACTCGGCAAGCAGGAGAGGGAGGGTCAACATGGCGTCTGAACAGGTCCGTTATATTCAATATGTGTTGTTATTCTTGCATTTTGCTAATTGCTTTTGCTGCGGTGTTTGTTAAGAGGGCAATAATATGTCTTCCCAAGTAAGCTGGTATAAGAAATATAAATGTAGTCGGCTGTGTTGTCGGCCCCACGATGATATCAGTGTGATAAACGCTGGCCTTCGTTATTATAGGGAGCGTTATGTAGACATAAAAATCCTATTACTGTAGCTGACCTGCTGTTTCACTGCAAAGTAATGTTGCGAATATAAAGAGCACAGACTCTGTCTGATAATGAGACAGTCGAGTTAATTTCTATTTTGCTGCCAAAATGAGTGCAGTTTATTTTTAGTTATGGCCACAGACAGGCAGTCGCGGGGCATTTAACTGAGAGGCATTCCTGCGCAGAGAAACAGGAGACACTGAAAATAAGTAGGACCTAAACCCTTGACTTTGATAGGACTAGGGGCAGTAAATGTAGATTTGGGCAGAGTTTCATATTCATAAAAATCTATGTTTTAATCTGAGCGAGAAACGCAAAAAAAAAAAAAATGTTGCCTGACAACTTCTTGCAGAATTACACTGATCTTCTGATCATCTATTGGAGAGGATATTTAATTTTAAAAGAACAACTCCATTATGATCTCTATAAAGGGTGTTATAAGCCTAAAAACTGTATGACTGAAACTTCTCAGAGATGGTTTTGCCTTCCAGGAGAGTTCCAACGGGCCTGTGAAGAAGTCCATGCGAGAGAAGGCTATAGAACGACGTACCATCAACAAGGAACACAACAGTAACTTCAAAGCAGGCTATGTACCCATAGAAGAAGAGCGTCTTCATAAGACAGGGCTGAGAGGACGCAAGGGAAACATGGCTGTTTGCATTGTTGTTCTCCTCTTCCTCCTCGCCTTAATTAACCTCATTGTGAGTACTGCAAGACTCATTGTACTTGTCCATCTAATGGGTCCTCTGTAGAACAAAATGGTGGTAAAGAGTTGACACAGAATGATTACAATGTGTTGTCACAGTCTTTTAAAACCGGCAACAACTCTGTCCCCCTCAGATCACTCTGGTCATATGGACAGTGATCCGGATCGGTCCCAATGGCTGCGACAGTATGGAGTTCCATGAGAGTGGCCTGCTGCGCTTCAAGCAGAAGGCGGACATGGGCATCGTTCACCCACTGCACAAGAGCACAGTGGGAGGCCGTAAGGACCAGGACTTGGTCCTGGTGGGCAACAATAATCCGGTGAGAAACACAGTGTACATTTATAGTGATGACTGAGCTTGTTACAGAGAAAATGAACTCTTCTCTTTTATTTGATGTATGTTGTTCCAGGTTGTGTTCCAGCAAGGCACTACTAAGCTGAGTGTAGAGAAGGACAAGACCTCAGTCGTCAGTGATGTTGGCATATCCTTCACAGACCCTCGCACGCAGAACACGTTCTTCAGCACAGACTTTGAAAACCATGAGTTCCATTTGCCCAAAGGAGTCAAAGTCCTAAGTGTTAAAAAGGCTTCTACTGAAAGGGTGTGTATCATGGTTATAATGTCTGATAGCTTCATTTATTATGTTAGTGTTTCACAACCTGTGTACAAAGTACTGTCAATATCCCATAATGGTCAAGTGAAATGTCATTTTTAGAAATGTTGCAAATGAATACATAACGGATTGAAAAGTCCCCAGGAACACACTGAGCTTTGTCAGTATAAAATGGAGTTAGACTCAGGTATAAATTCAGTTTTCAACACGTCAAGAGTAGAAAAAGTATGGAAATGTGAATATCCAGAGAGTTCACCAATGCTTCCTGGAGGGTTTTAGAGAATCTGAAAGAGAAGCAGGTGTGCAAAGCTGATAAATACAGATCCTAGAAGACTCAAGGCTGAGTTTACAATGGTAAAACATACAGCTGGAAGATATTTTAGCTTTAATAAATGGTGGGAAATATATTTCAAAACTTGGTCTGACATTGCATTCTATATTTTTTACATTAAGTTTATAACACACATATGTGTAATGGATAGTGGAGTCTAAAAACGTTGTTTGTAGTGTTAACAAATATCATGCTTTGTCTCTGATTTTAGATCACCAGCAGTGCAGCATCTGACCTGAACATTAAAGGTGACAGCAAGGCCATCATTCGTGGAAACGAGGGAGTCAACATCATGGGCCGGACTGTAGAGTTCAAAATGGGTGGAGGCATTGAGCTCAGGGCTGTAAGTCTGAAATGCACCAACATGTCCTGTTAATATGACTGCATATGTGACAGGGGGGTTAAGGAGTGCCTGTTTTCTACGTTGGTACAAATTCCCCAAATGTTGTTTTTGTTTTTTTGGCCTTTTTTTTATTGCCTTTATGATAGTGACAGCTGAAGATAGACAGGAAAGGGGGGTAGAGAGAGAGGGGATGA